AAGAAAGAAAGAAAGAAAGAAAGAAAGAAAGAAAGAAAGAAAGAAAGAAAGAAAGAAAGAAAGAAAGAAAGAAAGAAAGAAAGGTAGCAGAAAAAAAAAAAAAAGAACCTACTATGTGATATCATAAAGCTGTAGTTGGAATCAGGTACATCACCCAGATTTTCTGTGTAACTATGGATGAATCAGTCGACCTCTCTGCCCCTTACACTTCCAATCTCTATCTACACTGAAGGCAGGAACAAATAAGAGGAACTGTTCAGGGCTCCCTGATTTCTGCATGTCAGGAGCTTGGGTGTATCACCTCATGAATGAAGCATAATTACCTTTAGATAAGTTTCATGATGATGCCAAATTTCTTGGACTTCTTTGAAACACATTTCTCTTAAAAATCCCTATGGTCTTGCAATTCATGTCAAAGTCATTTATGGGCCATTTTGAAGTCAGGGATTCTGCTTAAATTGTTCCTTGAAATGAAATCAGCATGTCTACATTTTCTTATTAGCACTATTTTTATAGTTGTAGGAATTTTAAAGAGGTCTTCTGGGAAAAATAGACTTATTATCTCATTTCTATTATTAAATGGCCTTTAAAAGGCTATGAAGCAGCCCTATTATTAAATTTCAAATCAACCTAGTATCTTTAGCTTGATGAGAAGCAATTTCTATGCCATTTTCACAAAGCCAAGGACAATTTTTGAGGTATAAAATACCAAAGGAAGAAGACACACAGGTTTGGTTTTATAAGAAAAGAAATAGGACCTTTAACTTTTTTTGCTTAAATTTTCTACACTATAAAACCGCCACCTACATTTTTACAATTGTCTCTTAGTACCAAAAATCAGGAAGCTTTTACTATACACAGTTAAGGGCTATTTATATCATAAAGTTACCTAATTTAAAGAGCAGGATAAAATGGGGATTTTTTTTAAAACAATGGGACAAATGTTACTAATCAGATTGTTACCTTAGAATTTTATTTTTATTGATTTTTTTTATTTTTATTTTTTGTATATCTGCTCTCCCCTAAAGGAAAACAATCAATTAAAGCTAATTCTAACTGTATTTAAAGGAGCACCTCTGCTCTGGCCAGAAATGAACATGGTGCTTTAAGTGTAGATCTTTCTTCATTAACTAAACTGAGAACAGGAAGTAAATCCCATGGTGTACATAGATCTGTCTACTATTTTTGTAGTAATTCATTGCAAGTGAAATTCAAAAATGAGGGGGCCAAAATAGATAATTGTTTTAGTACAATGATACTGATACCTGATAATTATCAAATAACAATTGCAAAATATTAGGACTTCCTGCAGCCTTGTATTGAGTTATAGGAGTACCTAACATATTTTGGAGATTAACCCCTCATCAGATATATGGTTTGCAAATAGTTTCTCCTATTCTCTTTGTTGCCTTTTTACATGATTGTTTGCTTAGAAGCTTTTTTTTTTTTTAACTCTCACCCAAGGATATATTTTTGTTTGTTGTTTTTACTACTTTTAGAGAGAGAGAGGAAGGGACAGGGAGAGTGGGGGTGAGAGAGAGGGAGATGTGAGAGAGAGTAAGAAATTTGAAGTTTCATTGATTAAGAATCCTCTCTTTTAGCTCAGATTCATTCTTCCCTTCTTGCTGTGTAGGGTTGGAGAGGCAACAAACTTTTTTGGATCCACTGAGTCTACAGGTTTTTAAAATTTTAATTTAATTAATTTTTAAAAAAATTTTCTAGAGAGAGGATGGGACTGGGAGAGAGAGCAGGAGAGAGACATCGATGGGTTGCCTCCCTCACGCCCCAAATGGAAATCAAATCTGCAACCTGGGTATGTGACCTGACAGCGAATTGAACCCTCGACATTTTGGGGTACAGAATAACACTCCAGCTAACTGAGCCACCCAGTCAGGGCAGCTTTTTTTTTTTTTTTTAATTGAGTTAGGCTTAGTGGGACATATGTATGCAGTTTTTAGTTAGTTCTGTATATTGTTGGTGTTATTGGTCACCCACCCAGGTCTTAGCAGAAACTCATTACACTTCATTGCAGTGTCACGATGACTTTTTCTGCACTTAGTTTAAATTAACATAGGAATTGATTCTGTTCAGAAGATTGGATCTCAGTACCACTTTCTTTTTCAGATTGAAAAGTTTATTTTTATGGAGAAATAAGCAAAAGTTAAAATATCACCTTTCTTTGCTTAATTGGTGGGATTACTTCATACAGAAACAATAATCATAGATAACACTGAATGCTTATCACTTTTAACTACTTTCAGCTCCATTTTCTAGCTTAGAAAACTGAGACTTAGGTTAAATATTTTTCCCAGTGCCACACAACTTCCAGGTGGCAGAGCTGAGATCCAAAGCCAAGGACTAAAGTTACCATCAGTCACTTAAACCAATGGCTCTCCATCCTTGAGGCAAAAGTCTGAAGACATTGGGTATAAGGTCTTTGGGTCTTAAGACAAAGAAGGTAACTTCTCTAGTCCTAAGATTTCTTGTCAGATAAATGAAGGTAGACTAAAATTTACAGTTGGTGACTTTTGGTGATCTCATGACCATTTGAGAAAGCTGCGACCCCTTTCCAGGAAGTAGAACAGATGCACTCATAATTTGTACATGGTCACGGACACCTGAAACCCTTTTCTTAGGTCTAGGCTAATATCCCCTGGACAAAGAAAATCTTTAAATTTCACAGAAGTCTAATATTCTGTTATTTTAAGATAAGCTGACTTCTACTTTATTAGCGACTTTTTTTTTAAAGGGCAGCAGATTATCACCCTAACAATCTATGAAATGATTGACCAGTATTTGCTTTATTGATGTGCTGATTTGGGTTGCATTCTGTTTTTTTGTGACCTTGAGTTTTGAAGACTTTTTTTTACTAAGAATGATATTACAGCTGCATTTAGATTGAACCACTATGGAAAATTTATGGTGTTTACCTGAAGCTAATAAAATAAGTTATGTTTTCCCTGTAAATGAAACCTGAGAAACAGCCAATGTGTCAATACTAAAATCAATGTGAAAAGGATCTACTGTGAAATTAGGTTTCTCAAATAAAATGTAGTTTAACAAGAGGGCATTCACTTTATCTTCCTTCTTATGGGGATACTTTGCATTAGAAATAAAAATTATGGCATGTTTTGAAGCCATAAACTTAATATGTATGAAATTTGATGCCTTTCAAGATCAAAGGATTGAGTTTCAATTTAAATGTATGGATATTTTGTGTAAAAAAACAAAGTATCTTGCTGGAAAATAGATTAAGAGACATTTTGTGTATTCTTTCTATGTCATCTAAGGAAACTGCAAAAGCATGCATTAAAAATTGTGTAAGATTTAGTATACACAGGCAGAAACTAGTCTATATAGATTTTCAAAAAATGCACTGGTGCTGTTCTGGCCTTGAACCAAAATGCTTCTTTTCCCCATAAATTTTGGTGAAAAGATTCATTATTGTTGAATTTCAATATGATTGCTAATTAAGTGATGCAAAACTCAATAAAGTAAAATACACAAAAGACCAATTAGCATGTTATCTCAGTAAGTATACAGAAGAATGAGAGAACATACTGTTCTGCACAGTAGCATATAATTAAGATGTAGTGATAAATCAAGGATATATTATAACTTGTGTAGGCGCACAGGTGGCTTTTAGAAAGATAGATTAGCTCCTCTTGCCCCCTTGAGATGCAAGTTCATAGTTATTCCTGCAAAATTAAACAGAATATTGTCTCAAGACCCGACATTGTGTATGCTTCAGTGCAAGCAGCATGCTGGAGAGAAATGTTTGCAAAATGTTCATCTCCTTGTCCATTCCTGTTCCAGACGCTCTCTATGATGTTATCACTGTGGGAGCCCCAGCTGCCCATTTTCAGGGATTTAAGAATGGTGGTCTTCGGAAACTACTCCACAGATTTGAAACGGAAAGAAGAAAGTAAGTGATGCATTAATGATGTTATTTTCCCTTTGGAGAAGTTTAAAATAAAGAAACTTGGTCCACCACAATGAATAGATCTTGCATCTCAAACTATATAGTAACTTAAAGCTGTTGAATTTCCAAAAAATACTTGAACAGAAATGAAATTAGAATAAATTAAATGCCTGAGTGTGTTGCTTATTGAGTGCTGGCAGAAAATTTGGCCATCTCTTTACTAGAATGGGAATGGGAGTGAAATATAGGTTTCTGCCCATGGTTTCTACTGGGCATGACCTCCCTGCTGTACCATCCTTCAAGCTGGGGAGAGACACTGCTATTTATGTGCTATTCACCCCTAGAATAGGCAGGTATGGTTAAAAGTTTTCTTTCTGTTGGGCTATCCTTTTATTAGTCATTTGGTTTTTCTTGGGTTCTATTTTTAGTTGGTATTTTGCTACCTCAATAGTATTTCTCTAATATACAAGTTAGGATATATAGTAGTCAAGAAAAAAAAAAAAAAGACCCATAGAACTCACTGTCATTGCATGTCATTCCCTAGAAACTGAGGCTCCCAGCCAATCTTCCTTCTTTGCTCTTAGGGTCTTCTGATTAATGACTTCTATGTTTTGACTAGAGTATTTTTTATGATTAACAGGGGATGGAAAATAGATTGTGTTTACTCCCTTTTGTTTGGACCTGGACATCTCTACCTTGAGAATTCACTTAATTTATTTGTTTTTCTCAATCCAATTTTAAAGTGCCTGACACAATTGGAAGACTGAAAACTGTCCCCAGGGCACATAGGATCTAGTTGAACATATAGAGCATCAGCATGTGAAGCATGGAACCTCACCATAGAATTTCATAAAACATCACTGTGTGCTCCTGGCAAAGGCAAATGTTGAGTTGGGTGGTTAGACTCTGAGTAAAGTATCTTGTTTTAAATATCCTCATAATTACCTGAATTATTCAGTATTTTTCACTTTTCACTGGAATGTTTATACACATATAAACACGCACACACACACACAGCTCTAAGATTGAATTTAAAATAAAAGAGAGAAGTGTGTCCAATACTTATAAACATTGACTTGCTTTAGGTTTTTTTAAATGTGTTATAGATCCTATTGTTTTATGTATAACTTTATTGATAAATACAATGAAATTTTTTTAAAGTAAAAAAAATAACAGGTGTAGATCTTAAAAGTACTCTCCATAGGTGAGTGGTAAGGGATAAATATGGCTTGCTGAGGCAATACACAGTAAGAGCTGACCTGAGTAAAAACATGCCTAAAGTGATACCATAGTATGCAAATTGTTTTTCTGCAGGTTTTTTCAGCCACAAATATTGCATTTGTTCATCAAAAGCAATAATGGAGAAGTCAATGTGACTGTATGAAATGAGTAACTTACATGTGAAGAAATCACATTAAGTGAAGGAAATTTTCTTTTCCTCTTTTTTCTTTTGATACCCCACCCCAAATAGCCAAGTCTTTTAGGCCAGTTTTTTGTGTTTTGTTTTTTTTCCTTAGGGGAACTGCCACAGACTTTGTACTTTTTCACCTTCATCTATTTTCTTCTCAGTTAAGTCAATGAGATGTTGTCACCTGAGTACAGTAACTGATGTGTCTGTTTCTTAGTAATCTATTGTTTGATGAGTGCATTGACCACGTATTGAAAAGGATTTTAGCATAAGAAAGCCTCACTTCCTTGTAGTATTCATATAATGTAATTCAGGTCACATAAAAATATACTTTAAAAGCTACAAGATAATTAATTAAGCAGATTGATGTTTTAAAGTACAAATATCTGAGCTCTTTACTCCCCTGCTCAGAACTCTTCATGGAGTTCAGTGTCATCCACTGGGCACTCAAAGCCTTGTGAACTCACCCCACCGGCTTCCTGCCTTCATCACCCCCTTCTCCCTGTAAGTGCTTCTTAAGTGTTATAAAGCTGTTTCCTTAATGGACTTCACATTGTCCCAGCTCTTTCCTTTTCCTCACTCTGTTTTCTCACCAGAAATTCTTCTGTTCTCATCTCCACACTATTTGTATTTCTCTCTGTCAAAATCATATACATAATCCTATTCAAAATTTTACATCTGATCGATCCTAAGATTTTACCCTCTCCATTATGTCTTCCTGATTTCTCAAGTTGATTTGACTTTTTGTTCTAATATTTTATTTTTACTTCCCTTATAACCTTACTAGGTCACAGTTACAGTGTATTAGGTTTGTTCTTGTTTGATAATTCCTTAACACTCTGTGATGTCTTTGGGTAAGAGATGATGTGCTCTTGAACTGTGGGTATTCTGGAATGCTCCAGAGTACTTAGTATACAAGCATCCCATAGATCAAATGCAACAGGCACTGGAATTCACCTATGAATCAGGTACAGTCTCTGATTTAAAGTGCTGAAAACTCTAGTGAGAGATAAAATTTCACAAATAATCATAATACAGTAAGATCAATAGAGACAATGGGGATTTTCATTGTTGGCTTCACATGAGAATCACCTTTGGAGATTTAAAAACATTTTATGAATGCCTCAATTATTGCCTGAGACAAATGAAGTGAGAGTCCAGGAAATGACGCCCAGGTATTGGTAGGTTTTAAAAGCTGCCCAGGTGGGTCTAATGTGTAGCTAGGACTGAGAACCATTGACATAGATGTAAGTGCATAGTACTGGGAGAGGACAGATAAAGGGTGTGAAGAACAGAAAGAGGAATAGTTGACACAGATGAGTTGAACTTGAAAAATGTATACAACCTCAACTGGTATGTATCAGGAGCAAAGGAAATCTAAATAAGGGAACATTTGTTGAAATGAAGAAAAGTATTACAACTTGCTTACTAGAAAATTTTGTTTAAAAAATCCCAAATTCATTAAACAGTTGCAAAATGGAACAAAAGATGGGAATAAAGCTATAAGAATTTTGATCTGGGAAAATCTGGACCCTTGTAACACCCAAACAAATAAAATCGAGCGTATTATAGAGGTTTTCATGCTGTAGACATGAGATTTTTCTAGGAGAACCAAAACTATAATTACAAGTATATTTTATTTAAAGACCAGGGTGTTTATAACCCATGTATTTATGTATCATATCAAATATCTACATGTTCCTAGAGGCAGTGATTTACCTATGACACCATTTGAAAGAGCGTGGAGTTCTTCCTCAAAATATGAATCAATTATTTACTTTTGGTATTATTTAAAAGAAAGGTAAAAATTACCACAACACTTGTTTTGCCTGCTTTGATGATTTCTAATTTCAGCAGGAACTTCAGATTCAGCCAGAATTTTCACTGAGTAGGATCATGACCTGAAACCATAGCTCTTTCATTAGGATAAAGAGACACCTCATGAAAACCAAAACCCTTTGTAAAGACAAAAGAAAAAAACAAAAAGCCAATGAGGGACGGTGTTAACCCCTTCTTGAGAATATTAATTTCCTATGACCTCGCTGTTCATTTGGAATGAACTCAGAACTAACTCCCTACAAAGGATCTTAACGTCTGTCACATGCCTGTCTTAAATATCTACCCTGGTTTGTCCACCTGCCTCACCCCTGATCTGTTCCAGATGACCGTAATCAACATTTACTACCGCACAATTTCAAATGGAAGAGAGCAAATGATCATTTGGAAAGTCATAAGGAAAACAAATTAAATATTACTAAGAGAAATATTGTAGGCTGTCCTTGAACTTACAACAACTTGAATCTGTACTAGAATTTGGGGATATTTTCTGAAGGAAAGTGAAACAATTATACAAACTATTAAACAAACCAGTCTTACTTTTTATGATCCTGGCAAAAACCCTGAGGAACATTCTCTTTACTTCCATAAGGAGAAACAAGTAAATGTTTCCTCACTCTCTATTATAAATAGGAGACTTCTTAGATAAAAGGGGAAATACTGCATTGGGGAGCTCTCAGTTGCTTAAGGTATATCCAGCATCCAATAAACCAGAAATGAGAGAACTGGAAGCAAAACCTTTTAAATATATTCTTCTGACAGAACCACTAACCATTGTTTAATGTGGGGCAACAAAACAAATGAACATTTTTTGTTAGTAGTGGAGAGCTGAGACCTCTAAGCAAAGCCGTTGGAAGAGTTGTGAAAACGCTTCCCTTGTCAGCAGACTAGGCAGTTGTTACAAAAATATTTCTTTGAAAACTTTATTTTCACACTTAAGACTGAAAGTGCTTTGTTTTTATGAAAGAGAATGAGTGATTCAGATATATTTAACAAAAGCAATAAGGCTGTATCCATAATTTGCTTTAGGAAACCAATCATTTTTTTCTACTTTGAAACTCTCTGACTCTGGACTGATCTCTCCTCAGAAACCCAGCAGAGTAGCTATACTGAGATCATATCTTATATCTTTTAAATAGAACTATTATTTTTTAATAATGTCTTTTTAATAAATACTTTCTACTGCTAATTTTCCAATTTTGCAAATATGTCTATTGGAAAATGTAGAAAAATCCAAAGAAAGAGATTAGAATCACCCATAATCTTCAACAATGCGGTTACTGGCGGTATACGGGTGTGGTCTCTTCTAGTTTGTTTTTCCACTTATAATCTATGTTTTTATTTTTTTCTGTTGTAAATTCAAAAATTCCAAATGGCTTAAAATGACTAATTCGTCAAAGTATACAGGGTGGGGCAAAAGTAGGTTTACAGTTCTTCCTATGGGTAATAATACAATAATTAATAAATAAAAGTACAAGAATAAACTCTGTGTTTTGTATACTCACAACTGTAAACCCACTTTTGCCCCTCTGTGTATAAATCGAATGCTCTCCATTTAAAAATATCTATGTGTTCGTGGTTCTTTGGAAGTCATGTGTAAGACACCAAAACTTTTCATGAAAGTATCAGTCTTATAGGTTATAGCTAAAATTCATGTCCCATCCCCACTCAAATACATTTTCTTTCCTTTTAAAAAACACACACTTTATATCACCAAAAAAAAAGTGTTACACAGGCCCCAAGGCAATAAGAATAAGTC